AGAAACGACAATGACATATTTCCATTGATAAATAAAGTGGCGTAAAGAATGGTATTATGTAATCTTGTGTTAAACATCCTTTTTTATGATTTACTACAGTAATTATCAGCAGTCAGAGTTTGATGAACTCCAGAAATTGAAAAATACTAATTTTAATTGAAATAAACCAGAATAAAAGACAACAATTCAGTTTGCTGCTGCATATGTAAACAATCTGTTATCTGTATGTTTACATGATGAATTCTATCAATAAGGTATTTGTGAATGGCAGTGGTACAATCAGGAATCGATGCTATGGGATTGGTTGTGAAGTATCTGTTAATCTCATGAGGCAGGTTTTTATGAATGAAAATGTATTTTCCAAGACAAACAACATACTAGTGAGGTGGTAAATTTGATCAAAACAATTCCTGAAGACAAACTAAATGGTACCTAGTGCATAATTGATTGCTTTTTGTGGCTGACTTTCATCTACTCCATACAGTTTTACAACTAAGCCCAAGAATTTGCATCAAAATGATGTTGAATAAAAAGTGAACTTATCTCCTGCACCACTTAGAAAACACCATATTTTCAAATTAAACTGTCACATCAATTATATTATGTTAGTTCACAGATACCACATGGTTTCTTTCTCAATCTATAGGTGACAATTGTTGCAAGAAGGGATACAATGAAATACAAAATACCAATCAAGAAATAAATCTTTTTTTTTTCATTATATGTGATTTTGATTTTTTTTTACAAAATTTGATTTTTTCAATAAATTGCAAGATTAGAATATTTTTAAAAACCATATTTAAAAATAATTAGGTTTGCATAGTTCAATATTCAAAAGTTACACATTCTGTTTGTTATATAACAGAAATGTTTGCCCTTATGTTCTGTAACCTTGGAAGAAAAAGTAGATCTGTTGTTAACTTTTAGAAAATTTTAAATGGTTATTCTATATTTAAAATATCACATATATATCTAGTATTAAAATCTCATTATAGAGGTCAGGGGTCATTGTAGTGAATACATGCCATTTAAAATATTACATAAGAATTATTACAACATTAAAAATATTAAATTTGTATGAAATTTGAAACTAGAATACCATTTACATTACTTTTGCAAGAAAGAAAACAATCATGTGTACTACAAACAAATTCAAAGTAAAAAGAAAGGAAGTGAAAACTGAAAGCCAAAAAAAAAAAAACAGATACAATTTACATAATTGTAATACCAAAGTTCATTCAATATCTTCAGAAACAAGCACTTTACACTTGTCCTTTGTGATTAGAAAGTATGTTGACCTATATTTGGTGTATGGAATGATTGTAAGGTGTACATGTCTGTCTGGCAGGGTTTATCTGACCTTTGCCTGATTTTCTTGGTTCATTAGGCAACGTTAAGTTTTCATGGTTATGTCTGTTTCTCCGATACTATAATAGAGAGTATGTTGACCTATATTTGGTATAGGGAATGATTGTAAGGTGTACATGTCTGTCTGGCAGGGTTCATCTGACCTTTGCCTCATTTTCTTGGTTTATTAGTCAACGTTAAGTTTTCATGGTTATATCTGTTTCTCAGATACTATAATAAGCAATAGGTCAATTTTATTTGGTGTATGGAATGATTGAATGGCATACATGTTGTCAGGGTTCATCTGACCTTGACCACATTTTCATGGTTCATTGGTCAGTTTTCATAAGGTCTGTTTCTCAAATACTCTGAGCAATAGGCTAACTATATTTGGTGTATGGTATGATTGTAAGGTGTATATATCTGTCTGGCTGGGTTCAGGGCTCTCGGTCACGAAACTTTACTCAGAACTCGGAGTACAAAATTTGTGCTCGAAACACCAAATCCATGATTTTGATTGGTTGATTTCTGAGTCTGAGTACGAAAATCGTGCTCGAAAGTTTTATGACTGCAAGGCCTGTTGACCTAGATCTCATTTACATGAATCATTTTATAATGTTCAGTTTATAAAACCTTCATATAACAGACTTAAATTCAACATAAAATTCAATCATGATAAGTGATTGATTGATGTGTGTTTAAAGCCACTTTCAGCACTATTATTCTATCTCGTGGTTGTTAGTTTTTATTGATGGAGGAAGCCTCATGATAAGTCAAGCAGGCAAGAAAGACATTTCAGTGTGACACACTATTGTTTGGTTCAGGTATGATTTCTTCTTCCTTTCATCTAACTTGCTCCATTTATATGAATTCCTATAGCTTCGTCAAACCTTAAGACTGATATAATGACCTCAGATATGTTTATATATTGCACAAGCATTTAGTTTGTGTTGAATGAAGTTGAGTGAGATTTATTTTTTAAACATTCAGCATCCATCTGTTAGTTATTAGAAACTTCAGAGGCAGATTTAAGGGGCCTTTAAATACTTTTTACAAGTAATACTCTAAACGTTGGCTTGCTAGTGTACCGCTCCTTTTTTCAAAATCCTGGATCCACACCTGAACTTATCAACATATGTATTACATTTTATGGTACATTGACTTACATGATGTTTTACTCCTGGGGGTAGGTCCCAGATACTAAGGAACCTTCAATATTATTATTTAATCTAAGGATATATTTATGGCAAGGAAGACACTTCAGTTACTTTCTCAGAAACTAAGTGTCCCACAATTAAAAACAATGTATAAAGAGTCATCTTGGGAGTATGTCAAAAAAAAAAAAGATTGCAATGATCTACAGTTTACACTTCATTGACATATTTATATTTACTGTCCTCAAGAGCCTCTCATTAAATATAGGGAGAAACATGTTTTGATATCATCTTAACTGCAACAAAGTTAAAACACCAGTTCCTAACAATATACTCTATAACACTAGTTCACAAGTAAATATTTTCTGAATGAACTTTCAAGGTCATGTTTTTCTCTGACTGTTAATGATGTCATTACACTAAATCCAATGGATGTTGGATGTGTAACTGATTGATACTTTGGCATGTTTAGACTTAGATACAGGACTATTTTTACTAGTTGTTATTGGCTATGAACTAGCTGTCAGTAATTGTGAGTACTCTCAGATATGTACTTAGTGGGGATGTATAAATACCCTACCATGTCCAGTCTGTGTTTTTGTTACTTGTTTTTCTGCTTTATATCGATCTGATGATTTAAGCCCTTTTTTAACTGATGTTTGTAGTTTGTTCATATGTTGTGCGTTTACACCACTCTCCCAGGGTAGAGGAGGGTTGGGCGCCGGCAATTTTGTTTAACCCCTCCGCATTCTGTATGTGCCTGTCCAAGTCAGGAGCCTGTAAATCAGCAGTTGTCATTTGTTGCCGTATATCATATTTGTTTTTGGTTCATTGTTTGTACATAAATCGGGCCGTTAGTTTTTTCTCGTTTGAATTGTTTTGCATTTGTCATTTCGGGCCTTTTATAGCTGACTATGCGGTATGGGTTTTGCTCATTGTTGAAGGCCTATAGTTGTTAACTTCTATGTCATTTGGTCTCTGGTGGAGAGTTGTCTCATTGGCAATCATACCACATCTTCTTATTTTTATATTTCATTTCTTTGTTTTGAGTGCTATTTACACATTCTATACATGTGGTTAACTTTCTTGATGATATATTAAGATATAGTAAACTTGTCTTAAATCTTGCAAATCATTTTCTACATTTCTGGTAACTCCTGTAGGAGTTATTTATCTCCTGACTTTTAAATTCATGTTAAATGTCTGTTTTTAATGTGGTTAATAGGAATTATCATAATATAATAATCAGGCATTTAGATATTAATCTCAATTGCTTTCATAAGAATTAATTTAAAGAGCAGTGCAGAAAAGTCATAATGCACATGGATGAAAATGAGTTTAAACAGCGGATTTATTTTAAATGAAGTTAATGTTAAAACAGATTTTCATGGCAGAATGTTCTGTACAAGATAAGACAAGATTAAACATATAAAACAACCTGATACTCTATCTGTTTCCTATCTGTACAATTATCAACTGAAGCATCTTGGCCATGGCAGAAGTTACCACAGGTCTTTGAAGAAAGGTTTAGATTTCATTCTATCTAAAATCAAAATGCAATACTTGATTACTGTTTCGTTTAATGTTTGTTTGTGTACAAACTTCGAGGTAAATGGAGGCAGATTTTCCGGGAAGTCCACTCTTCTTTCAGCTGTGTGATGGATAAATTGAAAAAAATGTTTTAGATTTTCTGAACAAGCTTTTATCAAATTATTTTTGAATCATGAAGCTGTAATAAAGGATAATAGTGAATGAAATTACAAGGATGAAAAAACAGGATGATTTTACTATACTATAGAGAAATATCATGTTATCAGTGATCAGTTAAAAATTTACTAATATTGTATAAATGAAAGTGAAGAGGATATTGAACAAGACACAAATTTAAATGATAAAAAAGTTTAAAAACTTAATTTGAAAAAAAATTGAATATTGGTGAATGTTTTAAATTTTCATTTCCCAAAAGAATTATTGGAAGGTAGTTTCAAGAAAACTGTCCAGCAATATACGGTATATATTACGGTTTGATGACAATTTTTATTGAAACAGAAGCATAATAATTGTGTGATAATTATTAGAAACAAACCTTGAGGGAGCAATAATCAATATAAAGTATTGTCATTAGGATATTGTAAATAATAGGAGATAATTTAAACTATTGACATGTAATATGGTCCCTAATATGCATCTGACTGTGATTAGTTCAAATGGATAGTGACCAATCCTTGGAAATGGACATTACTGGTCATTTATTATAACATCTGCTACTTACATCTGTATATGTTTGTTTCATGAATGGTGATACAATATTGTTTCCTTGCAAATTGGTCACTTCCTCCCAGGAAATTGACAAGACTAATTTTACACATAAAGTCCTGGTGTGTAGATGAAATTGTTTTTTTACATGAGTTAAAAGAGTTTCTTGATTGGAAAATAGTTATAAAAGATTAACCAGATTTAGTGATTATGGACCTTCAGCTTATATTATAATTTTACTGGAAATGGAAGTTACATAATTTAAGTACAAATAATTGTGAAAGGATATACATAAAAAGAATCAGGAAGTATTTGTCAAAAATGAAAGTGTGTTTTATTTAATTAAATAAAAAAGAAAAAGGACTTAAATTTACATCAGACACATGGAGAAAATGCATCAATTTGAAAGTCGTAGTTTCCGCCATAGGAAAGTGCTCACATTACAGAAGTTAGAAAAAAAGAAACCGTTTAGTCGGTCTTTGTCTTTAATAAGTCGGATTAGAAATCTTTGGTCCAGGTCGGATAGTTCGTCACAGAGATCACCTGTTCCCACAACTAACATTGCTGTTACACCTCCAAAGGAAGAACAGGACAAGAATCATACACTACCTAGAAATGCAAGATTAGGTAATTTTGTTTATAAATATATAATTGTTTTCTATTTGAAATTTATCAACAGTATCATAGTATTTAAAGATATTACTATTTTAAGAATAGACCATCAGCTTTTACAGCAATTCTGTAAATTATCATTTAAAAATATATTGAGAACACTTTGGAGGTACAGAAAGTTCAATTTTAAACCAAGGGTAAAGGGAAATATACTTTATATATTTCGCAAATTTATTGTCATCTCTAGATATTATACTTATTAGTATATAGTTATTTTGCTCCTATTAATGTAATGAACATCAGTTGGTCCATATATAAATAAACAATTCTTCTATTAAAACATGTTAAATGCAGTCAAAAATAGAGCAATTGCATTTAAGTTCTTTAAATTGTTTTTGTGCCATTTGAACATAGATATGGCTTAGAATACATTTGTATTTTCTGTGATAAATGAAAGCTTACTAAATTGTTTGAACACTGTAATAGTTCATTTTGATACATCAAATAAATTTGTCACTGTGGTCTGGCAGTTTTAAGACTGTTTTGGTCATCTTCAAAACTATATGGACCTTACATTCACAGTTTAAGTCAATTATTTCTTGGAGATTAACACCTAATCCATAGATTGCCATATGGCATTTAGGGGCATGAATTATTTGTTTAATATCATAATTCATATAGTTATTGTTCCTATTCATCTATTGAACTTCAGTGGGTCAATCATATATTGTGGGTCAATGATTATAACATACTGTGATGTCATGAATATTTACAGAACTTTTTTATGTGTATCATCAGTTCATTAGTCAGTAGTCAGTGCTTCAGTACTGAAATGATTTATAACATACTTTTCTGAAATACTCCATCCATAAAGAAGGAAATTCTCCCAGGTAAAGTTGACCTTAGATGAGTTGCTATTCTTTTTATGACATTTTGGTCGTATAGCTCCATACTATAAGTTATATGGTTCGCTACTGACCCCCTACGGATCAATAGAGGGTTTGTAAAACCCATAGGGGGTGAGGCTGAAGGCTGGAATTTTTCTGCTGCGTTTTGTAGAAAAATAAACAATGAAACACAACAACATTAATAGATGACATCACCATTAACAGTAGACAGTGACGTCAGGAACCCCCTATGAAATTTACTAACTCCCTACGGATCCATAGGGGGTCACCACGTGACGGCGTTAAACCAATCACAACGTGATAATTTACCTGCAGTGCGATAAATATTCAAGTATTACATTCTTGACCTTCAAATGTTGGGGTTGGAGTGTTCCTGATGAAGGTCATTCCAGAAAAGCAATTTGATGCACAAAGTTTATGTGTTATTTTCATTTATTGACTATTGTGTCATTTCCCAAAGACTGTAGTGACATCAGCTTAGCTTGGCATTCAAAACTGGGTAGTCGTTAAGAAAACATTACTCCACAAGGAAATGTTCATTTTAATAAATAATACAGAAATATAATTTCCAAATTCTGGAACATGATGAGTACCAGTTCTAGGTAGTGAGTTTTGACTACCATAACTACATTTATATAATATAGATATCTTTCTTTTCATTGATTGTAAACCATAATTGAATGCTGAGCTTCAATTAAAATAAACACTGCATTGATAAAGAGAAAATTATAAGGAAGTAAAATAAAATCTTCTTCCTTATTAAGCTAGCAATCTCTTTGCTCAATATGAATTTAGGAGTTTTTTGTCTCGCCTGTGACAAAAGTCGCGGAAAGCAAGACATATTAGTAGGGATTGCTTTTCCGGCGACGGCTGTGACAAAGACAATTTTTGTCAACAAGTTTTCTGCTTAAGTTAGTTTGATAGGAACTACTTGTGATAGATCATTGATATTTGATATAAAGTTGCATTACTATCAGTACATATCAGTTTGACGTCTGTTGTGTAGCCCTGTCCCCTAGATCATGGTCCAGTGACTTTGAATTAATTAGCAATTTTCAATGTTAAGTTTTCTGCTTAAGTTAGTTCCATAGGGATCTACTTTTGATAGATCAATGATATTTTGTATGAAGTTGAATTACTATCAGTACATATCAGTTTGATGACTATTTTGAGGCACTGCCCCTTTTGGACATGGTTCAGTGACTTTGAATAAATTAGCAATTTTCAATGTTAAGGTTTCTGCTTAAGTTAGTTTGATAGGATCTAGTTGTGATAGATCAATGATATTTTATAAAAGTTGCATTACTATCAGTACAAATCAGTATGATGACTATTTTGAGGCCCTGCCCCCTTGGACATGGTCTAGTGACTTAAATTTGAATTAATTAGCAATTTTCAATGTTAAGTTTTCTGCGTAAGTTAGATTGATAGGAACTACTTACAACTACATTTTGCATAAAGTTACATTACTGTCTGTACATCTCAGTCTGTTGACAATTTTAAGGCCATGCCCACTAGATCATGGTCCAGCAACTAAATTAATAAGCAATGTTACTGTCCTTCAGATTGTTTTTTTTAAATTTCATGCCGACAGGCGAGACATATCTCTGTGTCAACAGTTTATGTTATAGATAATTCAAAGCACTGGGATAAAGCAAAATTGTTGGGCAGCTGTACCTGAAACAATATTCAACTGTCCTAGGTTAGGGGAAGGTTGAGCTCCCAGATACATGTTTCACCCCTTCACATTCTTTATGTGCCTGTCACAAGTCAAGAGCAGGTAATTCAGTGTTTGTCGCTGGTTGCTGTCTGCCGTATTTATTTTTTGTTTGTTGGTTTTTAGCACTATGTAGGTTGTTGGTTTTCTCTTTTGAATTGTTTCACATTTTGTCATGCCAGGGCTTTTATAGCTTACTATGAAGTATGGGTTTGCTCATTGATGAAGATGTAAAGTGCTTACATCCTTGATTTTCCTTTCTGGTCTCTCAGGTGGATAGTTGTCTCATTGCCAATCATACCAAATTTCTTCATTTTTCTATATAACATATTTGGAAAGCACCCATATACCAAAGGAAGACTGTATATAATGTTCTCCTTCAAGAAATGTTGATATATTTCAGACAAAGAAAGAGATGAAATTGCCATAACTGAATAAAGAATGTTTAATATTTTAAAAACATTTTTTTAAACTTAGTTATCAATAATATAGATTAAATTTGCTGACTTCATAATGAAAGCTGTAGATGATAAAAAGTTTTATAAAGAATAAGATTCAAATCTTTCTCAAGAAAATCAATTTGAAATATGATTTGAACAGTAACTTTGTATGGTACAATGAAGTAACTTAGTTACTGCAGGTTTTATCACATTTGATAATGCTGAATTCAGCAATGTTTGGTTATTTATTAATTAATTATTGATAAATATTGCACTTAATAAGTGCAATATTTATTTCACCTTGACCCTAAAATATGTTTTATATCAGTTTTAGTTGATTAATTGATATTGAATGTAAGCTAAGTGTTGTGTATCATAGAAAGATAAGACACAAACCAAAATCCATGCTGAATATCATCTAGACATTTCCTGTAGAGATAATTCATGTGAGGCCTTATCATTTTGACCTATTCTATGGAATTCTTCTTACATGTCTTAGGTTTCATCTTTGACCTATTTATTGAATCTTCTCTATTAAACTGTCAAGAAAATTTCTGAGGAGCATTGCTAATCTTACAACAAGATCAATGCAAGTTTGCTGTCATTTAGTGTTATATTAAATAATAATCATAATATTAAAGAAACTAAAAATTAAATTGCATAGTTGTTGGAGTATACATTTTTTTCCATATTTAAAGTGCAATATCCTCATTACTCTAGGAACATTCGTTATATATGATGATAGAACTCTTACCACGGTTTTAACCTCACCTGCTGAATGATTTTATATGCACCATATTTGTACCAGAATAATCAAATCCAGATAAATCTGTTACCTTTAATAGCTTACTATATGGTATGGGTTTTGTTCATTGTTGAAGGCTATGGTGAACCAATAGTTGTTTACAACCTTCTTCTTTGGTCTTTAGTTGATAATTCGTCTCTTGGCAATCTTATTTTTATATTGTACAACAACTGCTGAATACATGTTATATTGTATGAACTGTGATATTGTTATACAGCTACTTATAACAAATAACAAATGTCCCTTTGTAAATATGGGCGTAAAATTATGATGCCTTAAGCAGGTAAGGTGCTATGCCCTCTGTACAATACAAATCTATGCATCATCTTGAATGGCCTCAAATGATTGAAAATGCATCATAATGCTCTCACCCTATTTTAGTTGTTTGCATATTGGATGACATTTTAAGATAGTATTTGAATAACATCCTGATTTATCATGGAAATGAAGTGCAACAAAAATGCTTGTGTGCACATGCTTGCATGATAGTTTGATAGATTATGTGTTCTTAAAAAAAATACCAACACTCCACACCTGGCTTTTATTGCATTATTCAGTTCAAATAGTATCAGGTAGCCAAGATAGGTTATTTATAGGTGTGGAAATTTGATGTTAAAGAGTTATTTCCCTTGTTTGGGATTAATATTGATGTACAGTGTCAAATATTACATGCATATCAGGATGAGAATATGTTTATGTGTTTGAATTTGAACCCTGCTTTAAAATAGACTGACATGCTGAGCCTTATTTTTAACTAGCTAGTTCACAAGGTAATAGTCAGCAGGAATGCATGTCACCCTACTTTGACACATAAATCTCACGCCAAGCCTACCAATCTTAAATGCAGCTTGCTATAATAATAATAATAATAATAATAATAAATTCTTTATTTAAAGAGAGTAAACACAGTTAGTTACAATTACTAATCTTCCCTGAGACCTTAAATGGAATAATAAGATTGATTGATCTATTTTTGTGGAGGGGTTTGAACACTTCAACAGGTAAATAAGATTTTTCAATGCTAAGCAGAGAAGCATCAAATACAAATTTTCAAGTCATTGGTTTGACCTGTCACTACTTGAGGTGAGCTTGCTACCATGAGACCAAGGAAGCTATCATATATATAGGGCACTAGCACTAAATAT